AACCAATTAAGAGCTGAGGACGTGAACCAGCAGAGGCGGGAGAAAAGCCCGGGAGCGCCACGGAAAACAAGCGGATCTGACAGCGCTGCTGTGGATTCCTGATCAGGTTTTCTCGCTGACAGGTGTCAGCCGGGGATAGCGTTTCGACTTCTGCTCAAACCGATTTGGAGAAGATTTCTTCTTATTTCGTCTGTGACGCATTTCCAGCTGCATTTCTTTTTATTTCCGCTCGTCTGCCAGCTGTCCGTTTCCTAAATCCTCGAAATCAAAGCCAGAGATTTTAATTCCAACGTCAAGTCAAATAAAAACTTAACTGTCAATCCAAAACATCCAAAAACACAACAATCAAGCACAACAACACGTAGCTTCCTTCTCCAGCGAAGCCAGACTACATCTGTTTAAATTCTTAAAATCTCCTACCGAAGCTCATATTTTAAGGTTTAAACATCCACTACCTCTCCCAGTCTGCGAGTCACCATGACGAGCAGTCTGTAGAGCAGCCTCCATGCTGCTGTGGCCTGCTGTTGGGTCCTGCGGGCGAGCGAGCAGCTCTTCCTGCGTAGCCGGCCTCCTCTGGACGTTGGCATAACAGCTCGGAGAGAGTGAGCTCTGAAGTTTACTTAACCTGCCTCGATTCTTATTTAATTCCCTCTGATGATCAGTCAAACACCCTCATCAACTTTCCTCCTCCTTCTTCTTCTGTGGTTTCTCTTTAACTCGCCGTTGCCCGTCTCTCCATCAGGCCCAAGTCAGAACCCTCAGACTTGAGTGCACCTCAGCCTCTGGGGCGAGTGGCCACTGGTCTGTGAGCGTAGGCAGAGAAAAACTGCTTGCTGCCTGCTCGTTTTGCATATCAGTCCGTAGCGGACGGTCTGGCCGCTTGGCCTGTGGGGGAATTTCTCCTCCAGCAGCTATTACTCTCTGTCGCCGCGTATCAGCGCCGCTCCTCCGATGTCTCTACCGCCACAGACTGCCATCCATCCTACTTCCTTTTGTCCGTTCGCCTCCTTCCTCTCCCGTTCGGCTCCAGGTGACCTCGCTGCTGTGATTTCCAGAGAGGCTGGGGGCTGTATCTGGGTCCAGTCTCTCAATAGCGACAGTACAATGCAGACTGTTCTGGCTTGTTACCTCCGCACACACAGGAATGGCTGACTCAAAGCTGGGAGGCTCTGAGCTGGTGGGGGGAACCATGCAGGAATGTTAACTATGGCCTCGTACAGGAATAAAACATGACATGTATCGCTCGCTCGCTGGCGGGCTACTTCATGTGGACAGAAATAAACAGATGCTGGTTTTAACAACAAACTATAATGGAACCATTTTTCTCGCCTCACTCGGGTAAATAAATGTAAGGGATTACAATTAGGAAGGTTAGTTACTTGTCCTATAGCTTCCTGCTGCTGTTCTTTTACGTCTACTTGCAGCTTCCTGCCTGGTTGTAAAATGCTGTGTAAATGCACCAAACTGCATCTAACGCTGCAGACCTGCCAGCAGGTGTGTGGAATCACAATCAGTTCTCAATGTTTTTGTAGTAAACGTGACATGAACGTCTCATTTTGACTCACGGTGGCGGCGCACAGCGGGAGGGGAGCGGTGGAGGAGAAAGGGAACGGCATCTGATGCAAACCGAGGCTGTGGCGCTTCCTCTTTCGCAGCTTAACCCCCAGCTGTTGCCCATTGGGCAAGTTTGTCTGCAAAGCCTTCACACTCAAGCCTTTTATATTTGCAGTCAGTGAATGCATAATAGCAGACGTCTTCCTGCCAAGTCCAGGTGTGAGCAGGAGCATCCTCAGCTTTGGCATATCGGGACTAAACTTTACAAACTGCACCAAATGAGATGAAGTTCTGTTTAAATTTGGACTCTTCCACATGTGCAGACTCCTCTCACCCCGCGGTCATCCGTCTACGTCCTAAAGAGACAGTGTTTTCAGTTCGTGTGCACATGCACGTACAATATTTTTATACTGAGTAAGCTAGTAAAGCATGCCGCTGCATATAATTAAGCCTCACTTATTTTTACTTGGAGAAAACAAAAGAAAAAGAAAACACAGCTGAGCTCTGTCAGAGTGGGAGGATGCAAGATAAACACTAAACAGCATCTCTATCTCCC